GGGCTGCGCGCGCCAAGGTCACCGCGGGTTGGGTCTCGACTCCCGGGTGTTGTTTCCGCTGTGTCACGGCATTCCGTCAGCCCAGGTGGCTGCAGTGGAAGGCCTTTATCCCGAATGATCTTGGATTTGAAGCCGTGTCCCCGCGTGTCCATGCCGTCTCAGAAAGTTAGCTTTTGGACTGCTCCAGTGAAGCGGTTTTGCCCATTTGACTTGTTCAGCCCTGGGGCACATCTTCCTCTTGCAGCACCTATGTGAAGACATGAAAGACACCTTCGCAGTCCATCACACAGGGAGGGAGGCCGTGGAGGAGGGAGAACGTGAAGAAACACTGGTCGAGTTCCTTCCTTTAATTGGCAGTGTTGGGAAGAACTAAAGGGGTGGTGAATACTGTCTTGCCCCTGTTAGACAGGACCAGTCCTTTAATTTTGACATGTGTATGGAGCACCTATAATCTGTGAAGCAGCAGTGAAAAGGAGTAAGTCGTTGCTGACTTTAAGAAGCTTCTGGTATAGTCAAGGAGATCAGGTGATGCTAACTTAAGAGGCTTGGGAGGAGCACAGTGCTATAATACCTGGAGGGTTTTTGCCACTTGAAAGTGGTTCCAAGGCATTTTTTTTTTTTAATAGGCAATGCATAGTGAGTGTTCTTGGGGAATTTTCTGTGCCTCTCATGTGTAAAATAGGAAAAAAGGATACCAACTCTATTAAGGCTGTTGTGAAGATTAGAGGAGATTGTTAACATACATTGCCCACTAAATATTTATCCCATAGTAGGGGCTCAGGAGTGTGTAGAACTACTTTATTTCTTGTTTATTATTCCAGACAGAAACAAAGGAATGATCAAAGAATTGGAGATGTGAACACGTGAGGTATATTTGGGGAATATCATGAGGCATCTGTAGTTATAGTGTGGTGTAGCAGGAAGAAGAGAAACGATCTCAGCTGGAAGACTGCACTGGCCCTGCCGTCCTTAGAGCCATGAATGCAAGTCTTTGGGATAAACTTGGTTGTTGGGATTTCAGTTATACTTGATAGATGCAAAGATGATTGCAAGTACAGGGTATTCTTTGTGTTTTGATAAATGCATATTGAAAATAAATTTGCACAGAACATCTGGTATGTCTTAAATTAGGATCGAGAGTGGACAAAAAGAAAATATTAGCATAAAATACAATTTTTATGTTTTTAGTTTATCCAAATGTAGATGTCAACTACTAGGACATCTTAGTTTCTTGAGGAAACTGACCCAGCCTCCTTTGAGGATTGGCAAGAATGACGTAGTCTTAGCTTATGTTACTTATGTTGTGCTTTGATTTACCACTGAACCAGTAATAGGTAGTGCGAAGAAAACTGTGAAGTCAAAGATATTACACCCAAAGGAGTGTCCCCACAGCCTTTCTTACAGGGAGAAGTTCAAAATTTGATGCTGTTAGTGGCCTTTAATGACTGAGAATTCTCCTGGGTCAGAGAAGCCCTAAACTATCCTTGTAGACCTTTAGGTGGGGTTGGGTAGGTGCAGAATGTGTGAAACTTCCTCTATTGTCAGGGTTCCATATTTGTAATTTATTGCAGTGTTCCAGCTATCTAAGCAAGTTTCTTTAGTGATTGTTTTTTTTTTTTTAATTTCTTTTTCTTTTTCTTTCTTTCTTTTTTTTTTGGTACCATGGATTGAACTCAGGGCACTACATCCCCAGCCCTATTTTATATTTTATTTAGAGACAGGGTCTCACTGAGCTGCTTTGTGTCTTGTCTTGCTGAGGCTGCCTTTGAAATCCTGGTCCTTCTGACCCAGCCTCCTGAGCTGCTGGGATTACAGGCGTGCGCCTCTGCGCCTGGCTTTTTCCAAGTTTCTTTAGTGGTTATTTCTTTGATTCTTGTTCATCCTACACAGTTTTAGAGCAGTAGTCGTGGCTTGCAGAGATTTTTCCTGGTCCTTTTTCTTAGGTCTTTTGGCTTTCTGTAATTTCCCTTCCCAGTTTATTCTTCATATTGTTGTTGGGGTTGCCTTTTTTTAAAGCTAAGAATCATCCTCTGCTCAGTTAAAAACCATTAATTGCTCCCTGTTGCCTGCAAGTCCTTCTCAGCCATCGGGTCTTTACAGTCCGTCTCCCTTAACTTTTAGCTTCTCCTGCTGTATTCTGTGTCGTGGTTTCTGCAAACACCTCCTGGAATGTTCCTTCCTTTTTCCCTACTAATCTTCTCCCACTGTGGCAAGCTTCTATAATTGTGACCATTTCAAAGATCTTGGTAAACCTGGTGGAATAACTTCTAGCAAAAATAGGGCAAATAAGCAAATGTATAGTGCAGAGTCATTCATGATACCTACTTCTTCAGTCATGACATTTAGATTGTCATGTCCTACCAAGTGTCTGAAATATTTCATGTTCTTCTTTATCTGTGTTATCTAAGCCAGCCTCATGGACTGCTTCAGAGATCTGTAGTTGGTCTCCCTATGCTACAGAGGTCTGTAATTGGTTTTCCTATTTCTACTTCCTTTTCTTTTTAAATTTGTTCTAATTAGTTATACATGACAGTAGAATGCATCTCGACACATTGTACACAAATGGAGCACAACTTCTTCCTGTGGCTGAATATGATGCAGAGTCACACTAGTAGTGTACTCATCCACGTATATAGGGTAATAATGTCCATCTTTCCTTTTCTTTTTAACAGGTTGATTCATTTCGTGTTTTTTCTATGTTTTAAAAAATATATTTTGATATTTTTTATGTAAAAATAAAAAGTAAAGATATATTGATATATGTATATATTTTTTACTTTTTATTGAAATAATGATTCAAATAGCATACCACTTAATATTCAAAATGGATTGTTGCTTTAGTGTATTCAGTTATAACTATCAATACAATCTAATTTTAGAACTCATTTTAAATCAAAATCAAAATAAACCCTATTGTCTTTGGCAGTGACTCTTCAGTCAGCCTCTGTCTCCTAGTCCTAAAACAATGTTTATCTATTTTCTCTCTCAGTAGGTTTGTTTACTTTTAAGTCTATTCCTAGTATTTTTTTGATGCTATTGTAAATGAAATTGTTTTCTTAATTTCACTTTTAGATTGCTCATTGCTAGTGTATAGAAACAGTTGATTTTTATATAATTAATCTTGTGCAATTTTGATGAACTCATTTATTCTAATAGTTTTTTAGTGAATTTCTTAATAATACCTGTATATAAGATTATGTTATTTGCAAATAAGGTAATTTTACTCCTTTCTTCTCAGTGTGAGTGTTTTAAGTTTCTTTCTCTTGCCTGATTTATATGCTTGGAGCCTCCATGACTGTGGAATAAAAATACTGAGAGCAAACATGCTTGTCCTGTCCCTGATCTTGCTGAGGAGAGGGGAGGGAACATTGATGTTAGTGATTAGTTATGATGTTAGTAATTTTTTTTTCTTGGTATATTCCCTTTATCAGTTGGGAAACTTCCGCAAATTTGTAGTTTGTTGAGTGTTTTTATGAGTTGAATTTTGTCAAATGTTTTTTTCTGTCGTATTGGGATAATCATGGTTTTTCTTATTTAGCCTATTGTTGTGATAACTTCCACTAAATGATTTTCAAATACTGACCCAGACTTACATACCTGGAGTAAATTCTATTTATTTGTGTTATAAAATTCTTTTTATAGATTGTTGTATTTGATTTGCTTATATTTTGTTTGAGAACTTTTATGTCTATGTTTGTGAGAGTGTATTTTGTTTGAGAGTTTTTATGTCTATGTTTATGAGAGTAGTCTTTAGTTTTTCATTTTTGTAATGTCTTTCTTTGTCTTTGGTATGTGGATAATGCTAACTCGACAGAATGAGCTTGGATGTTTTCCTTTTGCATCTGTTTTTTGGAAGCGATTGTAGAGTTATGATATAATTTTCTTGATATTTTGATAGTGAGATTTACCTGAAAAACTTTCTGGCTCTGATACTTTTGTTCTAGAAGCTTATTGCTTATCGATTCAGTTTCTTTAATGGATATAGGCTTTTTCAGTTCTGTTTGTCCTTGTCTGTATTTATATTTTATCTTCCAAGGAGTTGGCCCGTTTAATCTAAATTATCAAATTTGTGGTCATAAAATTGTTTATAACTTTCTTTTATTATGCATTTAATGGGGGGAGGTCAGTAATTTGTATTTTCTCTTTTTTATAATATGCCTGGCTAGAGGCTTATCAACTTAGTGATCTTAAAAAAAACAAAACAAACAAAACAAAACAAAAACC